TGGGATGAGCAGTTGCCTCTCATCGCCAGCCTGTACAACAATGCTGTCCACAGCAGTACCGGCGTTAGTCCTAATCAACTTCACTTGGGATGGAAGCCTAGATCAGCATTAGACTTCCTCCTACTTAAAAACCAACCCGCCGCAACTCCAGGCACACTTGAGTACGGTGTGCAGTATGAGAAGTTGTTGCAAGAAGCTGTCGAGCACATGAAGAAGCAAGCACTGATTGCTTATGAGAATCAACACCGTAGACAATCCACATTTCAGGTAGGGGAACGTGTCTGGGTCAAGGCTAGTGAGTTAGGACAGGAATTCGGAATCTCTCGCAAACTAATGCCTCAGTACTTTGGTCCCTAAGAAGTCATGGATATAGTGGGAGATGAGATGGATGGTCCCACATATGTCATTCGTGTCCCTGGACACCTACGCACTCACCCAGTCTTTCATGCCTCAAAGCTTGCACCTTTCGCTGAGACAGATCAATTCCCTTCCAGGAGATCGATGCTGCCCCCAACCATGGATGGTCAAGTGGACATCGACGACATAGTGGATCACAGGGATATGCCTGTTCCGAAGCCGCTGGGTCGAGGAAGACCTCCTAAACCCAAGAGAGAGTAYCGCGTCAGATTCAGGCATCATACGGATCCAAAAGAAGATCGGTGGTTTACCAGAGAGGAAGTGATTGAAACAGCTCCTCAGGTGGTGGCAGAATATGAGAGATTGCTATGAGAGATTGCTGAAAGGGAAGGCACCTGCGAAGTAAGCATCTCAGCGGACTTTCGAAGCTAAGGGGGATGGAATGTGAGGATTGAGCCCTCAAGAAGGGGCCTTGCCATGCTGTACATGTTCTGGGCTAAGGCCCCAGCAAGCCTAGTGCCCGCCCTAAGTGAAGGCGGGCCAGCAAATCAACAAGAGCCCTCTGTGCAAACATTTCCCGAAGTCGGGGTCCATACAGTTGCAGCACGCCAGTTGGTTGGAGTGCACCGAGTCTCGAATCTCGGCAAATGTGGAGATCCCAGGGCCTCTGAGTTAGTTAGGCCCTGGGCACTTGAACATGAGGCCGACAATGCATGCTGGGTATAGAGGCCGAAAATGCCAAAGGGAAATCGGCCCACTATCTGAATCTGGCCACAGGCCTTGATGGAAAAGGCGCAACTGCATTGCCCCGGGCCTCAACTGTATCGGGTTGGGTTCAGCCACTGGGGCCCGGTCGCAGGCTGAAGGGAGGCCGCACACACGCAGCACTGGCATATAGGCAAGCAGGGCGAGTGGGCAGGGATCTTGGCCAATGCGAGCATTGCCGGCACGCTGCGCGAATGCGAGCTGCTGCTGCGCTGCGCTAAGAAGAGGTGCAAGGCAGGCAGGCGCTAGGCGGTAGGGCGCTGCCTGTGCACTGTGCGCTGGCGGCCATAGCCGGGCTGCATGGGGCGCAGGTGAGGTGAGGGCGAAGGTGGTTCTTCGGAGGTGAAGGGCGCTGTGTGGGTAACAAGGGAGAGTGTGGGTGAAGAGGACACRTACCTGGTGGAGGTGGAGGTCGGCATTGGTGTTGACATCATCACTCGCTGGTAGTCAAGTTGTCTGGTTGCTTTCATTGCTGTAGTTGTAGGCTTAGTCTGTAGAGTAGATAGGGCGCCTGGCGCCATTCATAAGAGAGAGCTACATTGGGTTATGCTGTTGGTGTTGCCCTGTTGGGCATGGACATTGACTCACAATTCTTCTGTATCATTCTCAATTGGATGATTACTCGGTTCCATTGTGCTATCTGCTCTGGCTTTGACTACTTGGACTTCAGTGTGATTTTGCATCCTGGATTTCTGTGCTTCGTCCATATTCATGTTCCTTGCACAGGCAGAAAGGAAGAATGACACATTCTTTAGTAAAGGGACCAAGACCTGAGCTCGTGGGATAGGGCGTAGGCCTCCTAGGGCTTAGGGTTTATGCAGGCTCTACCATGATGGGTTACAGTCCACAGTCATTGGGGGGTTCATGGTAGTAGCAGGGTCTGCCAAGGAGAAAAGTCAGAAAACAGAAAGCACCGTACTATTCTTGTTCTCCAAGCGTATCTGACGGCCTAGCAGCTGAGAGGAGCAAGGGGACAAGGCAGAACCCCAGTTAGCATTACTGACATGAGGCCAGTTAGAATCAAAGACCCCGGAGTCGGTCAAGTTTAGGGATAAGTCAGCTAGACCGAATTAGGCAGGTGGTATATCCTTCCCTTGGGGAGTAATCAATGCCGTCCACTGGGGCCTTCTGACCATAATGGGGAGGAGCGTAAAGTGAGTACAAGTTGTAACTCTTTTGACTTGCCGGTGGAATAGGAATCCGACTGATGCTCCCGAGAATGGATATGTAGCCAGAACCGTAGGTCTTTTTTCTTTACAAAAAAAAAAAAAAAAAAACCTTACGGTCATTGGAGCTGGCGGCACATGGTAGGCATTACTTGCCTCTCTTTGGATATCCAGGGTTGTTTGGAAAGTGACATAAGAAAAAAAGAAGTACGGTCATTGTAGCTGCATTTGGGGCAACTTTCAGTCAACAGACAGCGTTAGTGACCGTACGTTCCGTTCAGTGGAAGACCGTTGTCGAACCTCAGTTTCCAAAAATCCCTGGACATCCAAAGAGATCCAAGTAACGCCTAACATGTGCCGCCAACTCTGTCGGCCCCGTATGTAGTACTGACTTGCACTCACCTTGCGCGCCAATGCAAGCCCTGCTAAGCCCTGCTGCAAGCCCCTTCGTATTATTGTGTCTAACACGGTCTGAACAAGTCATTCGTTGATCAGTAGTTATTAGAGACACCCAGCCCGTGTTGCTCCCCACGAATAGATTGGAGCATGGTTCCCCCCTCCCACTCCCCCCCCCCCAAAAAAAAAAAAAAAAAAAAAAAAGATCAGTATGATTCAGTAGGTATTACCGTATTACACATGCATGTATCATTCAGCCACTGACAACTACTTTAATGATTTAATCTGTAATGGGGTACACATCTAGATGTGTATAAGAGACAGGTATTACCGTATTACACATGCATGTATCATTCAGCCACTGACAACTACTTTAATGATTTAATCTGTAATGGGGGCAGCCCGTAATATTATTTTAGCTGACAGGATTTGAACTATTCCACTGTTGATCATCACTTACATGCATTCACGTTTTTTGTTCTTTCTTTTCAATTCCAGGTTGTTGTAGAGGTTGGATGCTAGACATATGACAGTCACCTTGGGTAGTCGGCCATTTGGTTATCCAGATGGTCCGTAGAGGTCCCTATTCCTTATGAGACTCCGTCCACTCCACTCTTGTTATTTTTCTCTCTGGTGCACCCCTACTCCCACAATCCTCCCTGGCAGTGTTACCACTCAGGATTATCACCCACCCATCATCTGTACGGGCATGACCTGACCAGACAGTGGTTTACATGCATGCACGTACTGTGTTCAACCACTCACCTGACAGGTACTAGCATAATCCCTAGTATAAAAATTGCTTGAAGTAAGAGGCGGGTCTCCCGTGGTCGTTGGTGGTTTTCGGAGGAGAGCCTGACATAGTGAATGGTACACAGCTGCTACAGGCACATAGCTGTTGATATTTCTGATCCTCAAAGGTACACACATGTAGCTGTTGACTGTTGATATTTCTGATCCTCAAAGGTGCACACATGTAGCTGTTGATAAACAGGTCATGAGTTTGAATTCCGAAGGTTACACGTATTTAGCTGTTGTCATGATAAAAATGTCGTGAGATCAAATCCTTTATCGAATGCGCATGTAGTTGTTGATCAACACATCATGACATCAATCCTGCATCGTATCCACATGCAGCTGTTTGTAAACAGGTCATGAGTTCAAATCCTGACACTCGATAATGTCATTCCTGTTGAGGGCTTGTCAATGTTGATAGCTACATTATGTTTGTGGCCCCCTCCCCACCTCCCCTCCTCGTTCTACCTTCGCCCATGTTCTTGTGCTGCGACGAAGTCATAGCCGACCTCCGCTTTTTGGTAATAATGCCATAACTAATTATGGCTTCCATTGGATTTGGTGTGCCTATGTGCTGCTAACAGGGCAATTGACACCGAGAACGGGTAAGAGCACTCTGCGTCCATTTGCGCTGTTGGACGGAGGCGACAGCAGCAAGCAGCCATCCCGAGAGGGCAGCCCTCGTAAAGGACGACGTAAAAAGAAGGAACGGGACTAGCTGTTTGTGAAATGAGCCATCATCGTGATGCAATAGAACGCAACGAGGAAAGTTTGCCAGGCTATGAATGCTTTCTTCTGTCCGCCTCGATCAGTGAGGGAGGTCAAGTTGTGAACCGGCTGAAGCCAATCGAGATATGGAGGTATGATTGTCGCAAGAAGGAGACCCATGGTTCCGACTTGCAAGCTATGGCCACTATGCTCATGCGACTGATGACATCATGCATCATCTTCCCGGAGACTTTACGAGAAGCAGGCGTGGTGAAGCATCTCATCAGATAAGGCACATCACGAGGAGGTGTAGATTGCCTCAGCGGCTCTCATTGTGGCTGCTGCAGGCAATTTGGAGGCGGAGTGGAAATCGCTCCAGAACGCATACTTAAACCGCCAGTACACGGCCCCAGCCTTGCAGAAATTTGTTTTGTCGCCTACTCCAAAACTTCTGCAGCTCAGGCCCACTGGACCACAATGGTTGGCCGTGCCAGCCAAAAGAAAACAAGTGCAGCGCTGGCGGTTCGGAAAAGCTTGGCGGGCAGTGCGGTGCCTCCAACCCTGGCTGCACTGGTGGTTGAACACTGGGTGCACGATAGTGGGTGAGAAGTCGGGGCTGCGTTAAGGCATGTCGAACAAGATAGAGAAAAGCTGCTAAACCGTGACGTGTGTATCATGAGGGGAACACATCAAAAGAGGCGGAGATATGCACCGAGAGAGGAATATTGCCTCCGATGTTTTCCTGCTCTTGCCATCAGTGCCCTTAGCACATCGAGAATCGGACTGCCAGTAGGAGCCAGGAGCCAAAGACTTTGTTGGGCCTCCCCGTAGCAGCCAAGTGGGCAGGGATAAAAAAAAAGTGAGCTTTGCCCCCAGAAAATGGGCTGTTTTTCCTTGCGCCCAGGCATGAATTCTGTGTCTGGACACACGCTCGCCTCCCTGAGGGGGTAGGACCTCCAAGAAACCTCCCGGGCAGCCCCAGCACAAAATCAGAATTTATTTTATTTTATTTTATTTTTTGCAGTCCCAAGTTGGGAATATAAACTATACCTCATGCTCCGGATGCTGGCGGAGGCCGGGCGCTAACGGACCAAAAAGGCTGGCGGTGCCAGCCAAAACAAAACAAAAACGCCGCGCCGGCGCTTTGGCCTTTGATTGGCACGCAGTTCCACTCCGCCTCGGCAAAAACAGGCGCGGAGGCAATGGTAAACCGTCTGGAAAGAAAATATCTTGTGTAGAGTTGCAAGGCAAACAACTTTTGGCCAGGGTCATCTTCAAATTCCTTACTGAATCCAAGCTTTAAAAAAAAAAATAAAAAAAAATCAAACTTAACCCCTTTACGCCCCTTTAAGCCTCATTTATACTCCCCTCTTCCTGTCTCTTATACACATCTAGATGTGTATAAGAGACAGGTCCAAGTGCCAGAACGCAAAGGTTACGCAAAAGATACCTCCAAAGATGGGGGCATTTTATTCCCAGGCTTCTAGCTCGGGAAACGCGTGAGGCCAGTGGAAGTGTTAGTTGCTTCTACTCTTGGTGAAATGGGCCAGATACCCTCCCCACTTCACGAGAAGGCCAAAGCTCATGACTCCTTAGTCACCCCGCAGACTCATCTAGACCAAACTATGCTCTGTACGTTCGATGTGTCTGATGCCTTAGAAGACTTGGAGAGTGAGTGGTCAAATAAGGACCCTCGCGAGTCTTGGGTGGCGCTAAGGAAAGGTCCTAGAGGGGAACATTTCGTGGTGGAATTGGATGTAGGAGGCCACAAATGTGGTGCCTTCATAGACATCGGATCCACGCGGAATTACATAAGTCGCGACTGTTTGGAAAGGTTGCACCTATAGGACCGGGTACGGCACCTTAGTAGACTAGTAGCATCTACTTTGGCCAACAAGGAGCGCATGATAGTAACAGACTATATCAAGGACGTAGTCTGTACCTTCTCCTATGGAGGATGCGAACTTAATCATAAGATTTCGTTCTTGGTTAGCGACGACTTACCATTCGACATGTTGTTAGGCATGTACTACCTCGAAGTTGCTAAGCCCCAGTTTGATTGGGATAAGAAGGTGCTCAAGCATAAGTTGCCCGATGGCCGAACTGTCAGATTGACTAATGCTAAGCCCCAGTTTGATTGGGATAAGAAGGTGCTCAAGCATAAGTTGCCCGATGGCCGAACTGTCAGATTGACTAAGTTCAAGGCCAGTAGCATTATAGATACCTATGGCTGCTTGTGCGCATCAACGTTCTACAATTACTATAAGCAAAACCAAGAGGAGGGTACGTACCTTGTGTATGTCTCTGAGAAGGGGAAGGCCGTTAAAACACCCCCAGAGATAGAACGCGTCGTTGCTAAGTTCCCTAATCTGTTCGAAGAGCCCACATGAGTTGTTGAAAGGGAAGTTGTGCACGCTATAGAAATCATTGCAGGGAGTAAGACCCCGAAGGGAAGGATCTATAGGATGGCTCCCGCCGAGTTAGATGAACTTCGGCGACAGCTTAAGGACCTGACAAAGAAGGGATGGATTCGGCCTAGTACTTCCCCTTACGGATCACCCGTTCTATTCGTAGCGAAGAAGGGGGGTACTTTGAGGATGTGCATTGACTATAGAGGCCTCAATGCCATCACAGTGAAGAACGCAGAGCCTCTACCTCGCATAGACGACCTATTGGATAGGGTGCAGGGATGCAAGTACTATGGTAAGATAGACTTGAAATCCGGATATCATCAGATCGCAATAAGACCTGAGGACACACACAAGACAGCCTTTCAGACCAGATACGGTCTGTATGAGTTTGTAGTGATGCCCTTTGGTCTTTGCAATGCGCCGGGTACATTCCAGCACGCTATGAATCGGATCTTCCATGACCTTTTAGATAAGTTTGTCGTGGTATACCTTGACGACATTCGAATCTTTAGCAAGTCTGCCGAGGAGCATGCAAAGCACGTTGAGACTATACTCTCACTCCTGCGACAACACAAGTATAAGGTCAACTTAGAGAAGTGTGAGTTCGGTCGCACTAAGATACTATACTTGGGTCATGAAGTATCCGCGGAAGGGATTAGGCCGGAGGATGCGAAGGTGGCTAGTATTCGAGACTGGCCACGACCTCAGACTGTCACTGAGGTCAGATCTTTCTTAGGAATGTGCGGCTACTATAGGAACTTCGTAAAGAACTATTCTACAGTCGCCTCTCCTTTGAATAATCTAACTCGACTTGACACGCCGTGGGACTGGAGTGATGAGTGCGAGGGTGCTTTCAAGAGATTGAAGCATGCACTCATGAATCATGAGGTTCTTATGGTTCCCGATCCTCAGAAGCCATTCATAGTGACCACTGACGCAAGCCAATACGGCNATCTAGCCTTGGGCACTGGGCCCGTGTTCCGAAAAAAGAAAAGAAAGAATGTTCTCAAACTTGTATTCGGGACATCCGTACAAATTGGAACGATAAAAAGGCTGAAGAATGGCATGGCCCCAGAACAAGGATGACACACATAAATCGACCCATGGTTCCCCCCCCCCCCCCCAAAAAAAAAAAGGAATCCAAAAAATTAGAAGTCAAAGAAATTGGTGAACAATCACGAACAAGGACAACAACAACAATAACAACAAAAGAGTACAAACCAAATGCCTCAATTTAGATCAATTGACATTTCTTTTTTTGTCTTGTTTTTGTTTCCAAATTGTTATGTGTAGATGCAAGTTCTCCAAATTTACGACCAGCCATATCTAAAGTAATCTGTAAACCAACGAAATATTTTCCGTTATAATATTGTGCATAGTAACCGACAAATTTAGGCACGCACGCGTCCTTCCGTTTGGCCGAAGGACCCCTGAGCAGCATTGATTGCTCCATCTTCATGGAGGATTGACTGTCAGCTTGCCTTTGTTCTCAAAGTCCTCTCAGCTAGGGTATACCCCGGCTGTCAGATCTACTTAAAGCACCAGTACATGCAAGCTATTGGCCGCGGGCCCCTTTCGGAGGCCGCCCACCGCCGATTCATTTTATCGATGGCGCTCGGCCTCTCAAATTTTCGGAGAGGCTCAAAACAGGTTCTCCAGTTGCCTGGGGCCATGTACTGGTGGCGCATTTTGGTCTCCGTGAGAGGCTCAAAACAGGTTCTCCAGTTGCCTGGGGCCATGTACTGTAAGCTCAAGACTTTTGAGAGAGGAAGACCCTGTCCAAACGCAATTGCTCGTTGTTGATGGGCCCTATCCGTGCCCTCGCCGATACCCCTTGCCCTTGTCTGACCATGTGTGCTTTGCTGATTTCTTCTCCTGTGGTCCTCCTGGTTGTCCTGCTATACCCGGATAGTAGTTGGTTCTTCTTGTGTCTGGGAAATCTCCTGACCTGTTGCTGTGTCTGAGTTGTGCCAGTCCTTCCATCACAAGTTAAGTCCATTTAACCATGCAACTTTGCCTCCTGCCAACCATATGCGCTTGAATTTTGCCAGCACCATCTGTTCTGTTTCTGGACTGTTCTGTACGATATTTTGACCTTCTTCCACTGGCATAGAACTTCCGCCTTGATCATCCCCCTAGTGGCTGCGCAGACCACCTCCCACGGGTTCTTGGTGTCCTCCATCGTTCTGCTGCATCTCTCTGTTCGCAGCCAGGAGGATGCGCTTGTGTGGGTTCCATTTTTGTCGTTTCATTTCTTTCTATTTTCAGTAAGGTCGTGCAGGACAATTTCGCTAGGACGGGTTCGTTTGGGGTCTCCGAAAGCAGAAAATAGGGTCCGGTCGCAGTCATCCCTAAGACCAGTCGTAGGGCAGGTTACCTTGTCAAGGTCGTTGCAAATTAGTATAGGGCGCCATCCATTGTTTCCCTTTTGAGGGATAGAGTTTTTTCCCATTGCAAACTGGGGGCGGGCGATATGGGTCTGGGTCGTTTCGGGTTTTGGCTTTTTTCTCTTCTACTGCAAAGCATTCTGCTGTTTACTACGCCCAAGTCACGAAATCTAGAACAGACCGCCCTGCCCCGTTGGCAGGGCTTACTAAGAAAAGAAAAGAAAAGAAAAGAAAAGAAAAAAAACGTATTGACTTTCGGAAAAAAAAAGAAGGAAAAACGCACTTATCTTTGCCCCGAGAGCTGTGGAGATCGAGGGCCTTGCTCCACTACTGACCAAATGTGCAGCATGAGCATGAATCTTCTGGTAGAACACTGGTAGATACACTGCAAGTAGTTTAGAGCTTGAACTTGAAATGCCCTTTTTCCTGGCCGCGTGTGGGGTGGTACAGCCCTCAGTAGCTTGCTATTCGTTTTTCAGTTTCTTTTTTTTTTTTTTCTCCTGCGATAGAAGAATCTGGGCTCCATCCAGGGTCCTAGCTCGATTGGTTAGGCATGCAAGTCGCATTCAGGAGGTTGTGGGTTCAA